TTAAGACTGAGATATAATGTGATACCTAATACTAGAGAGACCTTCTATTTATAGGTTATGCACGTCCAAAAAGGCATCTGACCAGCAGTTTCGACCGTCAGATAGTTCGTTGACGAAGGTCGACTTGTCAGGTACACAAGGTTGGAGACAAGCAAGAACTTCAGCCGAATAGAAATTTACCTATGTGATTCTATGGCATAGTACGAAGGTTGATCCTTCCTCTAAAATTTCAAGGAAAACCTTGTCTTACGCTCTTCCCCACTCCTTCACATGGCAAGACTATTTTTTACTCCTAACAACATGTATGATGAGTCTTTAAACTTTAATTTTTATTTTTTATGACTAATAGATTCCTAAACTTTCATTTTTGTGTCGGATAGGTCCACAACTTATTTTACATTTTTAAAAATTCACGGGCGCATCATACACAATTGAAACTATAGGTTCTTTAGTGAACAAAAAAATATTATTGTTGTTGTTGTTATTATTTTGAGAAAAGGAAAAGGAAGTTGAAGTATATGAAAGACTTGTTATATCCAAATTCGAAAGTTGAAGCATTTGATAGTTTCTAAAATTCAGAAACTTGTTAGACAAAATTGAGACACTCACCTTTGTAATTTAACCCTTATATAATATAATATTACATAAGGAAGAAGATAACATAGAAATTAAACTCTCCAATTAATAAATGGGAATTAAAAATGCGGGCCGGCTGCAATTAGATTCATGGTCTCTATGAAAGTACAACGACAAATTTGACCAAATACAAGCTATTCTGCAGAAGCTTTAGAAAACAAAAATAAAAACCACTTCGTTTTTTTTTTTTTTTTGTTGGATAAATGACTAATAGAAGATGGATTAGTGCAAATAAAAGGACAAGTGACATCGCCGGTCGTTGGTTTTTTATTCAGCGGATTCAGAATTGGAGATTAATGCCGGCTGATATTACATTTTTCTTTCCTTTTTAATGAAAATGACAAAGGAAACGGCGTCAAGGTACTAACCTTTTCCTTATTTTTCTTTTTAAAGAAAATGTAAAAACCCTTTCAATGGCTCTCCCGATAGCTTTTAGTAGATAATTTTATGCACTTGATCTTTTCTACCAAATGCTGTATTCTTTGGGTCTAATCCAAATGGCAGAGATTACTTGTTCTTTAATAAACATAAACGTTTATGGGAAAAAATAAAAAGAGCGGCACTGAAAAAGACATTAATACTAGTTCATAAACTCTTTAAAGTACAAATAGTCAAGAGTCAAAGATCAAGTTCTGTATAAAAATGTTAAAGCCCTGGGTACAACTTGGAAATAACTTGAAAGTAACTTGAAAGAGTTATAGTTAAAAGAAGAATAAGACTTATGTGTGTGTCTTGTGTATGTAAGCGTTGAAAATTGGAACCTAGAATTTATGATTAAAATGAGCAAATGTACTGTACAACACATATGCTCATTTTATTCACGTGTCTTGTGTATGTAAGCGTTCAACAAGACGTGTATGTTGACCATGTTATTGACTAAGTATGTTGCAGTGATTATTTTGTTGGGTATGCTATGTTGTTTTTGCATGGCCAAGTAGGGGGCTACTTATGTACACTTGTTTTAAAAAAAAAAAAAAATTCTCACTTCTAGTGCAAGAATGAGTAGAAAATAAATTAGAAATTAAAAGAAAATAACAATAATAAAAAAACACAAAAATTTGTCAAATCAAGCATAGGGTTAAGGCACATATTTTTAGGAAACGGATATGTTTGGTAACTCATCCCGTTTCTCGTTTCTAAAATTTTAGAAACTTTTTCAAAAAAGTGGTTAAATTTTGGAAACAACGAAAAGTAGATTTTCGTTCTTCTTGTTTCCATTTCTTAGTCTAAGTCTTATAAATTGTGTAATTATAAGCAGAATTAATAACACAAACAGAGGGTATATAGTTTAAAGTAGAAAAGAGAATAAATGTAGCGAACTGATAACACAAACAGAGGGTATATTGTGTAGTTATAGTAAACTGCTGAAGTAGATAATATTTTGATTCAAATTTGCATTAGTGAAGCGTCATATTGAAGTCGATTATAAAAAGTAGTTTATGCTTTCGTATCACTCAACTTGATGGTTAGTATTTCTATTTTTAATTATATTTGTTATTAGTATTTATTGTTGATGCTGACTTTGGGGTGTTAAAAGAAAAAAGAGATGTTTAGACATCAACAAGATTAATCTCTAGATCTTACCCACACTAGTTGTGTTTAGTTGCTTGTTGAAGCGAAGTTAATTGGGTAGAATGCGAGGAAAGAAGCAAGATGTGTAAGATTCTCTTTTTGTGTAGATTAAAATTGGAGTCTTACCTGGGATAATATGATTTAAATATCATTTTAATCGCTACTTTCAATTTTTATTGATTTTAGATCATATTCTTAAAATATCTATTTTGGCCTCAATATCTTTTTAAAAAATTACTGCTTTTATTCCTATTTTTAATATTTAATGAACAACTCAACAGATTGATGTTGTGATCCATAATTGATAAGTAGGCATCTACACGATGGAAGAGATGTTTTCAAAAAACAAAATTTCAAACAAGCGGGTCAAGTCCGAGTCAAGCATAAACAAACATGAGTATATTTCTAATTTCTTTTTGCAAGTTGGGTTTTCGTTTTAGATTCCAATCGCATTTTGAAATAGGCCCTTCATCCAAGTTTTTGTTTCAGTTTTATGATTTGAGAATAATTTTTCCAATTGACTGTAGGAGATAACGAGGACTAATGACATCTGATTTCTACCCATTTGATTTTTAAGGCATTTCAGATTAAGTATAATCATGAATGGCTTGAAATGTAGGTGCCACTTGGGTACCATGTATGCTTTCATCTCTAAAATCCTGATACTTGTACATATAGAAATCTTGCACCAGTGTGGTTGTCTACGGAATGCACTCTAATACTTAAATTATAATTCAAGTAGAGACAAACAGGTATGAAGTAGAAAGAATAAGAAAACAGAAATCTCGAGAGTGAGAGACTACTTGAGAGTGTGTGCTTAATCTTCACATGGAATTGTATAGAGAAATGTGTCATACCTTCATTAGGGTGGTTCGTTTCATTATATATGAAGATAAATAGGGTTGTAGTAGGAAGTCTACACTCTTCAGCATCCACAGGGAAGAGGTCTGTCGCGCCAAGGGTCCATGGGACCACCGACATCCTCTGCTTCCTATTGTCACTGAGGTAGCTAGGGGGCTTGGCGATGTCATGAGTGATCCTAGAGACGCGTAGCAATTTGGGTACAAGGCATCAGTACCCTTTCTGTGGCTGTTCTTTGTACGAGACATACTATAAAAGCACTTGACCCTGTTGTTGGTGCGCTCGGTTCCTTTTCGGTGTGCTTTATCATGTCGATTTGGTTTCCTGACCCGACCTAAGTGGTTTAGTCAACTTTTTTACACGTGACATTTCGTTTTGATTCGATAATTTATTCTTTAAGACTCGTTTTAGTATATTTTTTTAATAATGATTTTATTTTGCTTTAAATTTTGTTTTAAACCTTCTCTTAAAAAAATGTATTGGAAAAGATATCCATGGACTCTGTAGATTTTTATCTAATAAATATTTTTTTTCCTGTTTTGTCTGTTTTATTATGGTTGCAAAAAAAAAATCGGTAGGATAAGTAGGTAAGCATACATTTCATGCTTGTTCCAGCAGTAGCACTGAGATTATTCAATATCATGCTAAAAATAATTAGGATTTCGAAAAGAAGATGTCATTTTTTTGTGAGAAATAAAAAGGAATATCCATAATTCGAACATAATGATTTCAATTAACAAGGGTGTTTAGAGAGCATCACCCCTCCAATTTAGGGTATAGAGCTACGGTCATCAAGTATAGCGTACGGAGAATAAAAAGCTTATAGAACATCACGACTCCTCCGTTTGTGCTCCTCTGTGGAGCCCAGGCCGTTCTTTTAGACCTGACTACAGTTAACCTTATGAGCAGGTTTGCACAATTTATACTAATATTTCAGAATTTTGAGTTCTCTTGTGTGTTTAATTGAGGAAGATCTAATTTGAATAGCGGGGCATTATTAAATTTAATTGTAGTACAACATGATTCAATCAGATTTTGATTCTAATAACTCACAATCTCGGAGTTATTGATTTTGTCGGCAATCCAACCCGCTTTCCCAAAATTTCTTAGATCAGCGAGTTGTTGAACAAGCCACCATGCATAAATGATAAATTTATGAGCTTATAAGTTAAAAGATTACTTAATATGCACCTGTTAACGTTCCGTTTAATAATTGTTTGGTTTTTTTGTTTCTAGTAGTTTAAAATTAAACTTATAAATACTATATCTATTCCACCTAGGTATTTCTTTACTTTATATCTAGATTTTAAAAATATTTTCAAAACCTGAACAAAAAATAATGAAAAGAGAAGTAGTTTTAAAAAATTTGTTTTTATTTCGTCCACAAAAGGCAGCCTCATTTGGTAATGGTATGGGGCATTGTGATATCACCTACATTAAGGTCTTGTATTCAAATCTATGGATGAGCTTAATACCAAAAATCATTCACGTCTTTCAAATCTTAAGTTGGAATCTTGAGATGGGGTACAGATGCTCTCAATTATAGGGGTAAAAAGTCTAGATGAAAATAATAGTAAAGAAATTATGAGTAAAGCTGCACAATTTTAGAAAACAAAACGATTATCAAACAGTTAACGAACCTAAAGAATTAAAATATATAATTTCCGTTAAATGAAAACATTCACTATCGAATTCAATGTATGAATATTTCTAATTATTATGAGGATGCGACCAACAAAACAAACAAAAGGTTTGAGGGTAAAGCTAAAATAGTGGTCAGCAAGGGTAGCGGTTGGCGTTGGGTTATAAATAGATGGGGAGTTTTATGATCCATAAGCCAAATTAAAGAAAGCAATTAATAGCGTTATTATTGTGAGACAATAATGAATAATTATTGTAAGAAATGGATAACTGGAGCTGTTTTGTGGGTAATGGTCACGTTTTGTTGGAGAGGAGAGTGTGAAAGAATAGTGAGGCTTCCAGGGCAACCAGCTGTTGCCTTCCAGCAATATTCAGGATATATTAGCGTTGATCAATACCAAAGCAGAGCTCTTTTCTACTACTTTGTGGAAGCCCACACCAATCCCGCTTCCAAGCCTCTTGTTCTTTGGCTAAACGGAGCTAATTATTAATTGTGTCTCGTTTAGTTACGGGTTCGTTTCTTGTTTTTTTTTTAATTATCAATTTTTTAGAAACATTAGCAATTATGGTAACTGTTTCTGTTTCAGCTCATTTCTCATTCATTAAGAAACGTTGCTAACTTTGTGTAGAATTTTTGGACACAACAAAATCAAGTTTTTTTGTTTAGAAAACAAGAAATTACCAAACATATTTCTGTTTTTTTTTTTTTCAATTAAAGAAAACAAGCCACAATTACGAAATGAGATTCTATTTTTTTTAATGGTAAAAGAAGAAATGATAAACAAAAAACTACGTTACCCAGCAGACCGTAGATTCTTACCATCTATCTTCTCTGTATTTATTTACTCAACTAAGCTTCCTATATAATTTTACACATTTTTTTTTGTTCTTTGTTAAAAGGTCCTGGTTGTTCATCTGTTGGTGCTGGAGCTTTTCTTGAGCACGGCCCTTTTAGGCCCAAAGCAGATATTTTGATCTCAAATAACTTCAGTTGGAACCAAGGTTTGTACTTTGTTCTCAATTTCCCCTTTTTCCTTTTTCTTTCTCTTCGTCTTTTCGAATGTTAAAATTAACTCATTTACCAATTTATTTCTCAATTTGTTTGACAGTTGCCAATATACTGTATCTTGAATCTCCTGCCGGCGTTGGCTTCTCATTTTCTAAAAACACCACCTTCTACTCCAAAGTTAACGACAAAATTACAGGTGACTCTCCAAATTATGCAAATTCTTATAAAAATATATTTTTTTAATTTAAAATTTTAGAGAACCAGAAACAAAAAATAGTTGCTTCATTGTTTCAGCACAAGACAATTTAGTATTTCTCCAGCGATGGTTCAACAAATTTCCTGAATATCGATACCGAGATTTGTACATCACTGGAGAGAGCTATGCTGGGCATTATGTTCCACAGCTCGCAAAACTCATACTCGACTCCAAACTAAACATTCAACTCAAAGCAATAGCTGTAAGCTCTGTAATGGTGGTTTCTATTAAACTTAACTACTCATTGTATAAGGTGAGAAAAAGAAATAACAACGTTTTTATATATTTTGGTTTTCAGATAGGGAATCCGCTGTTGGAATTCAATGTAGATTTCAATTCACGAGGCGATTATTTGTGGTCTCATGGGGTGATATCAGAGGCCACATATAAACTTCTGAACACAGTCTGCAGCACTTCCCAAATCACAAGAGAGTTCATCAAATGCAATATTTCTGCGGCATGCTCTGAAGTTGACAATTTGTTGTCGGATGAAATCTCTGATTTCATCAATTTGTATTCTGTGAACCTCGACGTGTGTGTGTCACCCACCACCCAATTAAAGGCCCCACTTCGACTTCTCCATTCATCCACGTCATCCTTAAAACCATTAGGAGACCAATCTTCTAATCAAAAACCTCACTCCACCCGCCTCCCACAATACTCGGTTAGTTCATCTCCATCTCAAAATTAGTTTATACGTATTTTTTTTAATATGATTATTTTTTTTTTATTAAAATTATAGGAAGATAGTGGGAAGATAGATGTTTGTATTGAAGACGAAGTGGATGCTTACTTAAATAGAGTGGATGTCCAAGAGGCTCTTCATGCTCAGCTTGTTGGAGTTGCCAATTGGAGCCTTTGCAGCGAGTAAGTATTTTGAAGCTATAAAAAGTGGAAGAGTTTTTAATTGTAATTTTTGGAAGGTTTTAATTGGCACTTTTTTATGATTAATTTTGTGTGCTGTTTTGTTGCAGCATTTTGGAGTATGATATGAGAAATCTATTGACACCAACCATTTACACTGTGGGTTCACTTGTGCGGTCTGGAGTAAGGGTTTTGGTGTACAGGTAGTTTCAAGTTCCATCTATATTTTATTCACCTTTTAAGCATAATTTAATTTTAGATTTTTACATCTCTATAAAGCCCTCCACCTTTTATTCTCTGATGCAATATTATTTAAAAATAATAATAATAAAAAATAAAATAAACTATTTTAACATTCAAATAGTAATAACTATATTTTGGATTGAAAGGAAAAAAGAAAAGTCAAATAGTACACACCAATAGTTTCAAAAATCTGTTTTTGCTTTTGAAAGTTGAGTAAGATTTCTAAAATTTTCAAAGGAGTGAAAAATTATATAAAGTAAACAAGTTATACGTGCTTGAGGATTGAGAGAGAATTTTAAATCTAATTACATATATATATATATATATAATATATATATAATTCGATCCCATTATGGTGCCTCTGATTTTATCACCCCATAAACCAAACAAAATAATTAGTAATACAATTTATATTTTTAAAAATAAAATAAAAAAATCCTAAAATATGATATAACAAAAAATTCTTTGATAACTTAAAAAAAAAATTGACAAAAGAATAAAATACAAATATAAATTCTAAAAATTAAAAATCGGGTTTGAAAAAATATTTTAAAATAATTTTTAGTGATTAAAAATAATTATTATGTACTAATTAAAGCTCATTCCATATTTTCTAAGTTTATTGAGTTGAATTCATGAATTCGGTCAAGATGACAAAGCTTTGCTTCCTCTCAACTGTTGGTGTGAATTCACTATTTTGATTCAAAAAGTCACCAACGGTTCAGACTTTTTCAAAATTCCATATTGTTAACAAATAAACATAATTTTCAAAAAGAAAACAATCTCAATATCTCTCATTATCAAATTTTCAGTACAATTGATAATTATTAAACACATCTGTTAATCAAAATTAGAATCGAGAAAGAAAATTTGAAAAACTTTGAAAACCAGCTACTCCACAGGTTTAAAATATTGGATGTCTATAAAATGTCAAATGCTTAATTTTATGGAAATATCAATGAAAATATAGTTAAAATGTTGATATCGATAGGTAATTCTGAAAAAAAATATAAAAATAAAAAATAATAATAAATATTTAGATAAAAAATTTTGTTAAAAACGTGGAGAGAAGTGATCTTTGCTCCACGTTTTTATAAAAATGTAGGGAAAATAATACTTCGCCCCATGTTTATATAAAAAACGTGGGGAATATTTAGCGGACAATTTTGGTATATTTGAATTTACCAACCAATATTCACGACGTTTTTGTAAAACGTCGAAAGAAATAATATATTCACCGACTTTTTTATATAAAATGACGGGCGAACTTATCTTCTCCCCACGTCTTTATAAAAATGTGGAAGAAGTGATATTTTCCCAACGTTTGTATAAAAATTTGAGGAGAAGCCCCCACATTTTTATAAAAATGTCGCGAAAATAAAACTTCGCCCCACATTTCTATAAAAAAAAAAGTCTAGAATCTTGAGCAGAAAATTTTTGTAGATTCGAATTTATCAACCAATATTTCCGATTTTTTTTGAAAAATGTCAAAAGAAATAAAATATTTAGAGATGTTTTTATATAAAACTACAGGTGAACTTACCTTATCCCAACGTTTTTATAGAAAGGTGAGGAGAAGTGATATTTTCCCAACATTATTTTAACAATGTGGGGAGAAGTGAAATTTGTTCGACGTTTGTCTAAAAATGTCACGAAAAGAAAACTTCGACCACGTTTCTATAAAAACGTCGGGAAAATAATAAATTCTTGTAATGAAATAAACCTTCCACAATTTCAAATAAGTCAAGAACTGTGAAATATTAAATAATATGTACATATTAATAATATTTTGTTGATATTCTTTTGTAGATGTTATCTATTTTCAGTATATGAAAAATATTAAATTCAACCTATGAACCTATAAAAATGTTGCTGGACATTCATATTTTCTAACTTCCTCCTGAACTGACAGTGGAGATCAAGACGCAGTGATCCCCTTAATTGGAAGTCGAATTCTGGTGAATAAGTTAGCAAACAATTTGGGACTTAATACAACTCTGCCTTACTCAACTTGGTTTTACAAACAACAGGTGAATATATTATTTAAGTTTAAATCCTACTTTAATCGATTCATTGACATATTTTTATATTTTGGACCCCAGAGGTATATTTGTTTCTATACTGTTTTCAGTGATTTTAAATTAGATAAATTTTAGAACAGTTTTAGTGGTTTGTTACACCTTGAAATAGGAGTGTTCAAAAAATTTCAAATAACTTCCACAACGACCCAACCTAAACCATAAAGATTGGTTTGAGTTAGGAATTTTTTTCGATTTGAGTTGGATTGAATGTTTTTAGTTAAAAATTTATTTCGATTTGCAAATTTGAATGATTCTATTGAGTTGGTCCAAAAACTTATCCTAATCCAACTCTGACCTATGCTCTATGCTCGTTTTGGCGTGTACATACTTCAAATACTATTTTTATTTTTAAAGAATCAGATATAAATGGTCGGAATTTTTTTTTAAGATAAATTATCAATTAAATCTTGCGTATTTTAATTTTTTTTATTACTAATCTGATTGAAAGACTATTACTAAACTTCTTATTGTCTTTTTCGTTTTCATTCAAAATCTAAACAAAAACAAAAGATATGTATATAGACATTTCAAATCTTTCATATTCCAGACAGGTAAAAAATTTTAAATTATTTTTAGTATTCCAAATCAAGAAATTTAAAAGCATTTCTTGAGGTTTACTAATTCCATATAGAGAGTAATTTGTACATAATTAGTTCTTAAATTTTCAAGTTTTATACTTAATCTCTATACTTTATATAAAAAATAATGCCATCAATTTTTGATTCAAATCCAACATTGGTCCGTATTAAATGTAGTTTCTAATATTTATTTACAATAGCGGTTTATTCATCATATAAATGAACAAACTACATGTTGATATTGAGTTTGTTTAAATAATTAATGAAAAGAAAAAATGTATTTATTTATTTTTTAAATTAAATATTTTATGCGAAGCTATAAAACATATTTAAAAATTTAGGAATAAATTATAATAAATATGAAAGTTGGATGAGTAAATAATTATTGGATACATGCACCATGTTAGGTTGGAGGATGGGTACAAACATTTGGGGATAAGAATATTCTGTCATTTGCGACCATCAGAGGAGCTGCTCATCAAGCTCCCTACACATCACCAGAAAGATCATTGGCACTCTTCACTGCTTTCCTAGCTGGAAAGAACCCATAATTAAAAGCTTTTTACACTTGTGTTTTTGAATAACTAAGTATAAATCATCAAGATGAGCCTAGTTCTTCGATTAAGGTATTTTGTACATTTTTTGAGAGTCGGAGGTTCAATCCCTACATTTGTTATATTAAAAAGACCATATGCTGCCAGTATGCGAGCAATTTAATTTCCTACATGCTTTTACAAATTAATGATGCTAGGTAAAATTATGCTGTCAATTAATAATTATCTCAATCACAAATGCAGACGATATTTATTAGCTAATCCTAGACCAGTTTCTGGTTCCAATTAAAGCGGAATTCAAATCAAATTGGAACATACGACTTAAAAAAATAGATAAACTAATCTAAAATTTGTAAGCAACGTGAATTATAAATAAAAATGAGGGAGAAGAAAATTCAACGTAAACGTCAGATTTATACTGGTTCACCAAATGTGGACTACTTCCAATTCTCTACTACCAAATTCTACTAAAATGTCAGAGAGAATCTCCTAAGAGTTTATAAGCCATTTACAATTATTTTTCTCAGTTTTTTCTCATACAGAAAATATTCACGAATTACTCTATAAGTCTTTCAAACTCTCTAAAAAATAGACAAGTATTTAGCTCTCAAACTCCATTTTCTTAGAGAATTTCTTACATGCTCTTTATTTATGCTCATCTATCAAATGACCCATTCTATCCTATTTGTAATACACACAAAATCAAATACGAATATGATAAGGCAGAAAACCTTTTACAAATAGGAAACCGAGTGAAAATAAAAAAAAGTACGCTTGAAAACGCGAAAACGCTTAATTTTTACGTGAAGAAAAAACGTGATAGAGATAGCGCGACGCTTTCCTCTCGGCCAAAATGGCTTCTGCAATGTCTCGTCATTATCCTCTTGGCCCCGAAAATTTTGTAGCACATTTACTTCAATTTCCTTATTCGTTGGGCCCCATCTTCCTAAAAAATTTCTCAGTCGGAGACAAATTAAAGCAATATATCTCCTCTACAACAATATCGATCACCTCTCTACTGATGGAGAAGTCTAATTGAAGTTATGCACAACTTTAGTTTATCAATAGGGACGACTTTGGTGAACATATCTACGGGATTCTGATAACTTGAAATCTTTTCAAGCACCATAACCCCTTCTTCAAAAGATAATATGACAAAATGGTATCTCACCTATACGTGTTTCATTCTCGATTGAAACACTGAATTCTTTGTTAAATGAATAGTGCTCTAACTGTCACAATGCAAAGTCCGTTTCCCAATCTCAAGCCAAGCTCTTCCAAGAAAGGCTGAAACCATATACATCATATCTTTACTTGATTCAATAACTACAACGTACTCAGCTTATTTAGTAGAAAGTATTACTATCTTCTGTTGTATAGAGACCAAACTAATCTCGATATTACCCAAAGTAAAAATATACTTGGTAATACTCTTTCTCCCATATGTATCTCCTGGCGCATCTACATATCCATGCAGTTTAAAATCTGACCTTTTAAAGTGCAGTTGTCCTTTTCAAGTATTTGAAGATCCATTTGACATAAGTTTTTGCTTAATGGCAAAAGAATATATTGAGGTGCACACCCATCACAAGTAATAATTTTGAAGAGCATTCCGAGTATCGATCTTTAAGGATAAAAGGTGTCTTTTCCAAGTGATGGTGAATTATGAATTGTAATTTATTTGAGGAAAAAGTAAGGAGAATGATGTTGTTTTAAGATGAGAAAACTCAAGTTTAAAAGATTCCGCACTTCTACTTTGAATTAATTGAAAAATATCACGAGGAATAGCACTAGGTGCCAGGTGTTACAATCACACTTTTCAAAAGACTCCCAAAGCGATTGTGCGACACTTACTCTTTCCCACAAGCAAGTCAGCCAGCGAGAATCTGATAGCTGGCGGCACTATGGCTATATATCGCAACCTCCACCCCCGTTCTCGAGAAAACGATTTTGGAAAACGGGGTTAGAGAAAAAGGGTTTGGAAAACATTTGAAGACATTTTGGAAGGCTTGTTGTATGCTTGAATGCAAGAGAATAGATTGGCGGCAAGACAAGAATACAACTCGATGTAGGGAGGAGACTAGGTGTACCCCCTATAGTACATTTATAAAGCACTTTGCCTTTGGCAGGCGTGAACATGCAAACTGGCGAGGAGTCACTCGTCACCAAAAGTACAATGAAAAGTAAATAACGTGCAAAAGTAAATACATAGCATAAAAATAGGAGGGAAGAGTGTGTCATGGGCATGCTGCCATGGGCGACATGCTATGGACGAGCGTGACCATGACATCCTCCCCCACTTAAATGGTTGACATCCCTGTCAATCGACGTTACTCGAACTCTACGATCTGGGTTGATCTGATTTCAAATCTTCTGCACGCTCCCAACTGATTTCTTCATCTAGAAGCCCTGTCCACTTGACCAAGAATTCATGTACGTCCATTCTCGGTCATCCGACTCGACGAGTTCTTTCAACTAGAATTTCTTCAACTTCTTTTTTTGTCTTGTTGTTTAAGGTGCCCGTTGTCGAATCACTTCGTTGCATGCTCGATAATGTGTCCGAGTGATAGGCTTTCAAATTGCTCACATAAATCAATGGGTGAATTTTCATCCATGAGGGTAATTGAACCCTRTATGACGTCTTCTCGACCTTCTGAATAATGTTGACTGGTCATTATTACTTCCGCACAAGGCGTTGATCTTTGTTACCCCAGAATCGGAGCTATTCCGGGTGTAATTTAATGAGCACTTGATCTCCTGCTTGGAATTCTAATAGTCTGCCCTTCTTGTCGGCCCACTTTTTCATGTGCTTAGATGCCTTCTCGAGGTATGATCGGGCAACATCCATGGATTGTCGCTATTCTTTGGTGAAGTTGTAAGCTTGGGGGTTCTTTCCTGCGTAAGAATGGTCGATGATATGAGGTAACATAGGTAAGTGCCCACATACTATTTCAAAAGGAGTCTTCCCTGTAGTAGTACTCTTCTGGCAATTGAAACAAAACTGGGCTACATCAAGCATCTGTATCCAGTTTTTCTGTCGAGCATCAATGAAGTGGCATAGGTATTCCTCTAATATGCTATTGAAGCGTTCCGTCTGACTGTTGGTTTGCGTGTGGTAGCTTAAGGATATGTTCAAGTTCGAGCCAAGTAACCGGAAGAGTTTCGTCTAGAAGGTCCCTGTGAATCTTCCATCTCTATCACTCACGATGCTCTCGGGGACACCCCACAATTTCACTATGTTTTTGAAGAATAGCTGCGCTGTCATCTTTAAGGAACACATCTTTGTGTTGGGTTTTATGTTCTGAAACTCATAGTTTGAAAATGCCAGATATACTTTTATCTTTCAATAAAGTTGTTCTTGAAGGTTTTAATCAATAAGTAGTTATTGATCCAATAAAATGTTCTTACTAGATCTAAATCCAATAAAATAAAGGATCCTAGACTGTTACCTGAGACTCAAACTCTATGTAAGAGACATAAATATGGATCAAGTTTGAGTTAACAGTCTAAATGGTTTATAGTATAGGAATAAGGTTGGGCGCCTTATTCTGGGGACACTATGGATGCGGCTCACTTTGTAGCTAGTACAAACGATGTGATMCTAATYCGTTCATGTGAAGACATGCGAGTGGGGGTGTCCCGTRCAAAGAGTTTGCATAAGACCGRACCATGAGATAGTCACTTTTACTYTRTAACACYGTTTACTGTTTGAAACTGACTATCTCGACTTTGATGGCCTAGGTAACTCAATCTTAATCCTGAGCTAATTATGAACTTCTATTTACTCGGGATTACCCTTAGATCTGCATGGGTGAGAGCAGCTCAACAGCGCTGGCTCAATAAGCCTCCCATTTCAGGGGTAAGGCCCGGTAGATAGCTAGGGACATAGGGTGCAAGAAAGAATTCACTTCTACCCAATTTTAGGATAGTAGAAAGGTTGTTCTCTTAAGGGCTGAATCCAGGTCTTGAACAATAGGCGCCATCCTCATCAAAAGGTTTGAGAGGATTTTTGATTTGATAGTTGGACTACAAATCATTGTTCATTAGAGGATCAGTAGGACTTAAGGAACAAGAGGTAATTACAGGGGTAAAGTGGTATTTTGACCTAGCTGTAATTACGAACAACTTGTGAAGGGTCGACTTACCGATCATGGTTATATCAAATGGACATAATATATCTACAGTGAAGAGAGTGCAGCTACGGGCTTTAGTGGAGTGACCTGGTAGTTAACGAATGTTGGTTAACTAGGTTAAAGAGTTTAACCGGTTARTCTCRGATCRTTGRAGCTCATAATCTGTAGGTCCATAAGGTCCCCTGGCTAGCTCATATAGGAATAAACTTGGAATAATTTGAAGGAATAATTCGAATCGTACGAATTAGGTTAATCATATGAGATATGATTAAGTAATTGATATATGATATCAATTTGAGAAATTTGGACAAAATATTTAAATAGGATTTAAATATTAAAATTATGAATGTGGATTCATAATCGGAGGCATGGATTTCATCAAACATTGGATTTTGGAAAAAGTCAAATAGTTGACTTTGAYCAGAGAAAGTCAAAGGTTRACTRAAGTAGATTAAAATAATGTTTTTAACCAAGTTGGTGGAAAATTCCACTAACTTGTTGAGTGGAACATTTAAATAATCTAAAAAATCCACTTTTTGACACTTAGCCATGCATGCATAAGTGGAATGTGTGTTGTAAGCTTTTGGTGAACTTAGACATGCATTTTGACACTTAGCCATGCCATGCATGAGTGGAATGTGTGTTGTAAGCTTTTGGTGAACTTAGACATGCATTTTGACACTTAGCCATGCCATGCATAAGTGAAATATGTATTGTAAGCTTTTGGTGAACTTTGACATGCAAGAGTTGCATGTAATTTGCTTATTTAAGAAGGCCTTTGTTCAAATATTAAAGGGCTTGGAACCTTTGGTTATTTTAAAAAAAAAAAGCTTACATAACTCTTTTTAGCTCCACTTTTCTCTAAATTTTTCCTTCTCTAAAAAGAGTCCCACCACTCTATTCCAAGCCTTGAGAATAGCTAGGAAGATCTCTTGGTGGTCCTTCATTGGAGCTATTTGAAGATTTTTGAAAAGCTACAAAGGTTTGTATTTTTCTCTACTTATCTCTAAGCATCATAATGTATGATCATGCATGTTTAATCCTAAGTTGTATTATGCATCTAGATTGTTATTTCGATTCTTGCTCACTTCTGCTGCGCATGTATATATATTATCCATCATGTGGTATCAGAGTATCTAGAATAACATTCATTTGCATATGGTGGGTACAAATCCATTTGATGAATGTTGTGGTTGAATTAAGTTGGATATATTACGGTTTTGGCAATCCTCTTAATTTTGGCCTGTAATTATGTCCTTTTATTTCTATTTTGTTTTTCTTCCGGAGTCATTAGAGTTGAAATTAGGTTGTAATTTGGTCAAATTCAAAGAGATAAAGGCTGAAATTTAGCTTYAGAMCCGCCTRCAACAAAGATTTCGACCCGGYTCRATTTTCCTCCCTTGCGGTCTGGTTCGTGCTGTTTMAAGCCGRTTTGGGTTCATGGAGGTTCRGTTTGAAGGGGTTCAAGGCCGGTTCAAGCTTTTGCAAAACWRTTTTGTAATAATTTAGTTTAATTTAGYTGTAAGGATGCCAAAAYCGGTCCAATTTAATTGTTGATTTAATTATGCATTATGAATGTATRAATTAAATGTTTTATATTGAATGTACATAATGTATGCCATTTAGATTTAAAATCCCACCATAGGATTAAGCATGTATCATGCATGAGATATCTTGTAAGTAGTTATAATGTATAGTATGCATGATAAGTTCAAATTTTGATTTGAATGTATG